ACCGAAAATGGCATAATGCTAATAATCAAAAAACTAAAATTATCATCAGCATCCGGGGTAGACGATCTCAATTCTAAACTGTTAAAAAATACAAAAAAAAGTGTGCGCGTCTTACTGGAAACTAATATTCGCTGAGTCTTTATCATCCTTCAGTATTCCCATCGATTGGAAGAGCGGGCAGGTCGTTCCGATTTACAAATCAGGAAATAAAAATTCACCTCTTAAGTACCATCCAATCTAATCTCTCTTACAAGTGTACCCTGCAAGATAATGGAACATGTAATCTACACCCAAATCATGCACTTCCTAGACACCGCTAACTACTTTCACCCTGCCCAACATGGCTTTCGCAAAGGCTTATCTTGTGAGACGCAACTTGCCATCTTCACCCATGACTTGCACATTAACCTCTACAGAAACACCCAGGTTGACGCTTTTTTTCTCGATTATGCCAAAGCATTTGACAAGTTACCTCATAAACGGCTATTACTAAAACTATCCCGTTTTAACTTGCCCCCAACCATTCTAAACTGGATTGGTGAATTGCGCTGTGACCGTAATCAGTCAGTGCATGTCAATAATCATACATCCGCACCTCTCCCTGTTACGTCTGGCGTCCCGCAAGGAAGTGTCCTGGATCCCCTACTCTTCCTTATTTACATTAACGACCTTCTCCTCCATGTCTCTTCTCATATCCGTCTGTTTGCCGACGACTGTGCCATATATCGCGCAATTAATAACGACTCTCACCACAGTACCCTGCAAGATGACCTTAACAAAGTGCAACGCTGGTGTGACGACTGGCTAATGACCCTTAGCCCTAATAAATGTAAAGTAATTTCTTTCACCCGCAGACATCAGCCCTTCTATATGCCCTATCACATCAGCAATACTCCCTGAGAAAAAAGTAGACTCATTTAAGTACCATGGTGTCTCTCTTTCATATGATTTAGATTGGTCTGTTCATGTATCGCGCGTTACTGCCTCAGCTAACCGAACCTTGGGATACTTAAAACGCCATTTACGTCATGCACCCCCTCACGTCAAACTACTATCATTTAAAACACTTGTACGCTCGAAACATGAGTAAGAATCCCCGATATGGTCCCCACGTCAAGCATATCTGATCAATGCACTCGAATCAGTCAAAAATCACGCGGCAAGATTCATTCATTCATCGTACTCATATCACACAAGCGTACCACTACTGAATGCACGATTCGGCTTAGATTCATTGTCATCCCGGAGCCGCATTGATTCACTAATCTTTTTTCAGAAGTTCTATTACAGCTTGCTTCGTCAGACGTCATACACCATCAGACGCCATACATCCATACAGAGCCATGCCCACTGCCCCGTAATAATAACATATATATATATATATATATATATATATATATGTTATTATTATTGTTATATATATATATATATATATATATGATTCAAAAAAGAAATTTTGTGGGTCTGGTGCAAATATAATTAAGAAATAAAGGAGCACGCTTACAAAAATTTGATAGTTGTTTACTCTACGTTTCGGCCATGGCACGGCCTTCCTGACGAAAACCGTGCCACGGCCGAAACGTAGAGTAAACAACTATCAAAGTTTCGTGAATGTGCTCTTTTATTTTATAATTATATATATATATATATATATATATATATATATATATATATATATATATATATATATATATATATATATATATATATATACATATATTGTTTACGTATAATTTTTGTATGTATAATTGTGTATTATCATTATGTATTTATGTCGCCCAATGGTAACCCCGCCCCTTATGTAATGCCCCTTTTGAGGGGGCCCTTAAGGAAATAAAAAGTGAAAAGTGAAGTTGAAGGCACCGGCTAGTATAAACAATGGAGATAAAGACTCATGGACAGGTAGACGTATGCACGTATTCTTCACCATGTGGGTCACCGATGGATTCGGTGAACAAAGAAAAGGCGGCAATGGTGACTCCGGATAGGCTCCACGAGTTCAATACTACGCCATTCGGTCTGTGCAACGCTCCCGCAACCTTCGAGTTGTTTATGGATAGAATCCTGCGTAGCCCCCGAGGGGGATGTATATGTGCTGACTCAACAATGTCCTTTTTCGACGTAAATTACACGAACACTATCTGCGTCTAGACATTGTGTTGGATTCTATAAAGAACGCTGGGCTTTTTCTGAATTTAAAGAAGTGCAATTTCGATGAGCGGCAAGCACTCATATTAGGTTACCTTGTAGACAAAGGTGGTATTCGAGCTGACCCGCAGAAGACTATGATCATCAAATAATTCCATCCTCTGCGGTCGGTCAAGGAGCTGCGCAGTTACCTAGGACTGTGCTGGTAGTTTCGTCACCTTATCTACCGGTGACCCACTGAGACGCCTTGTGCGAAAGGATGCACCATTCCACTGGGCAGAATATTGTGAGGCCTCTTTTTGACAGCTGAAGAGTCTTTCGATTTCACAACCAATGCTGTCAGCACTTCGACCCCTCCGCCCCAACAGAAGTTCACAGAGAGGCCATTAGTGCGGACGCTGGTACTTTACTCGCCCAGTGCATTGGCGATAAGGAACATGTAATCGCTTATGCTGGCCGCTCGCAACTATTCCGTCACTGAACAGAAAAGTCTTGCCGTAATTTTCGCCGCTCATACATTTTGGTCATACATAAGTACGGACGGCATTTCACGATCCCGACAGATCACAACTACTTTCGTTGGCTGCTGAGTCTGCGTGAGCCACCTGGGCGATTTGTACGCTGGGCCCTCAGATTACAAGAGTTTGACTTCACTGTCTCCTGCAAGACCGGCCGGTGCCATGCCGACCCATGCCGACGCCGAATGCTTTTCAAGACAGCCACTAAAATGTACCAACCCGGACGCAGGAAACATAAATCATTGCCTGTCTTCCCTTGTTCTTGCTTCCCCGACGCCTACATGGTCAAGGCTGAACAGCTGAAGGACCCACCTATACTTTGCCGCCACTCCGAATTCTACGATAGTGGATCGGTTCGGTGTTTGCGATGGAATACTATACAAGAAGATTTGCAGTGCAACTGCGTCTTTGCTGCTATTGGTGGGGTCAGCAAGCGTCTTTCTTCTGTGTTATATGTGCCATGCATGATGACACCACTTCAGGCATCTTGAGGTAAGTGCGTACTCCGTATCAACTGAAGGGCGTTCGTACTGGCTACGAATCCATCAGACTATCGGACAGTATGTTGTCAGCCGCACGAGGTGTCAGCGTCCCAAGCATTTCACAAAAGTTTTCGCTGGTCAACTGCAGCCTCTGCCACCTATAGGTGTTGATCAAGTGGGCATTGATCTCACATGGTCCTACGTGGGTAACTGATGGATAGTCGTGTGTATCTGTTACCACACACAGTGCTGTGAGACGGCCGCCATCCCCTCAGCGACTACTGCTGCTATCTCTTTTGTTGCTGATCCCGGCCTCCTGATTGATATGTGGTGTTTACTATCCCATTCTTTATTACGAGAGACGCCGTAGTAGAGTGCTCCGGAAATTTTGACCACCAAGGGTTTTTTAACGTGAACCTAGATCTGAACACACGGGCCTATACAGCATTTTCGCCTTCATCGCAAACGCAGCCGTCACAGCCGGGATTAGATCCTGTGACCTTTCCCGCGATTCGATCACGCATAATTTTACGTTTTGGCATTGAAAACCCTACCATCCTCAAACAAATAGACTTACGAATCGTGCGAACATAGCGTCCATTCATAAGAACGAGATCTTTGCGTTTAAAACATACGCCTTCAACACAGCAAGAGACGAACCAAAATTCCCATGCTTTCTTCTCTACACACGCCCACCGCGTTACGCTTTGGATTCCATCCTCCCTTTGACGACCGCTGACCGTTGCTCACATTCTCTGTCGGGGAAAGGAATCTCGTCAAATATAGTGCGAATTTGCACGCTGGCTTTTTAGACCGCGTCAAAGGCCCGATACAACCATAAAAGTCATTCTGTGAGCAATGCCCCTGGTGATTTTGTGTGGTTGTGGACCCCCAGTACAGACACGTAGTCTATGAACGAAGTTCTTTGTATGCTACGATGGCCCTTATGTCATCATCGACCGTTTCAGTCAGGTAAGCTATATGATCTCGCACCTCACACCTAGCGGTCGATGTTCTCCAAAAACTGAAGCCACATACCTAGCCCGGCTGTGTATGTGTTAGCGCTGTATGTGTTGTGTGTCTTCTTCTCTGTCCCATCCTGGATGCGCTATACCTCGGATATTATGGATAATCAACAAGCCCGCCGTGCAGCCTGGCTAAAGCTAATCACCTAATGATAAGAGACTCCCCCGGCGTACTTGGTCTGCTCGAAAAGAAGTGTGATAGTGCCTCTGGAGTGGGAAAGAGACGTCGGTAAAAAAGAGGATGAGGACTTTGTTGTCGCTTCCGTAGCCTCACCTCATCCAGTGCTCCGCCGCCGAGCGTTCTCAATAAACACCTCCCGACTCGGAGCAAAATTTAGACAACTATTATGTTAGCTGTATTTCGCATAATAGCGCATCTACCTGGCCTATTATAAAGACCCAGTGCCTGGTACTAAGCTTGCACATATCCCCTCTATGAACTTGAATGGATCCCCATGTTAGCAGATAGGCTATTAGATACCCAAAATATTAACCTCAAAGGTTTGTTCAACAAGTTCGTTGTGAAGGTGCATGACGAGAAGTTAGTAACGATGTGGAATTGGTAGTAACCGTTGCAACCTTTATGTATCTGCTAACGTAAGTAGTAAAGAGGTCCCAAAAAGTTATCAAGTGCCCTAGAAAGTTAGTAACAGCTTATCTTACTATTTGCTTGTGGCTACATGCTTTCGACTAATTTTTATGCACCTACACGAAACATTAGTTCACTGGCGTGCTGCCCTAATGTGGGGAAGAATATACAGATGCGCATGAAGTTCGGCACGCCTCAGGGCCTTCACTATGTCCAGAAAACCAGAGCTTAGACAAACCTGAACAGAAGCCTGGAAATGCAGCTGGCTGTCTCGACGGGGTTGGGAGGCTGCCGAATCTCAAGCTCCCGCTCCATGTATAGGCCACACAGTTACAATAGACCAGTGAAAACTTGCACCCGCACGGTGTGCCACTTGCCGGCAAAAGATACGGCGTCTTGTGATTGTACCAATTACGATAGAGCGTTTTCCCATGATCTCTTGGTGCGCAGAAACTTTTACGAGGCTGTTTACTTCATCCGCTATCTCGCCCGTTTATGACTGGCGGTCGTTACACTTGGCTGACGTCGGCTCTTGGCTGCACGCTTTCGCGAGACAAGGCGCTAAACATTCCCAAGTACGAGCCGTCGATAGCTGCACTCCGCAACGATTCTTGTGACTGTAGCTCTTCGACAATGACAATTCTATGTTGTTTATTTTGACAGACGTGCATTAGTATACTTACTCGGGTGAACAAAAATTCTTTTTTAAAGAGGACCTAGGAACTGAACGCCTTCAAACACAGATATAGCCTTCATTGGCACAAGCCCCATTGATTGCCAAAGAACGCCGCCATTGTACGTTATCAGTGGTAGTGTTGTGTCATAAAGTATAGGGCATATTATAGGGCATATTGACCCAGTGTTGCCACGACACAAGAAAATACGGTAGCAAGTTTTTTTTAATATCAATGGAAATAAGTAGCTCCTATATTTTAGTCATAGCGCTTAGTTTGTTTACCGCCAACTCAGTGCTGGTATTAGTAATCTACTATACATTGCTATAGCCTTAGAGTTTCATACAATAAAAAAATTGGCCGGTCCCACGTAGAGTGAGAATCGATGATATGCGAAGCACGAATGAGAAGTGTTGATATGTCACATGACTTCTGTGTCATGATTATCATGCTTAGATGTGTCTTTTAGCCTCGTCATCTATTCACGTCACGTTGTACCAAATTTAGCATATGTGGAGATAGCGAAACGGCCGCGAGCACGCTATGAGCGTGGTATGTTGTTGTGTTATGACATGACATGCGTGTAAGGATTAACATGTTTGCACCAGTCATATGTATCGTCACCAATTGACGTCACGCAACACTAAATTGTGAAGCTAGCAAAACAGCCGCGAGCGCATTATGAAGGGCCCAATATACTCCTTGAACTTGTATAGCGCATTACGGGGAAGAAGAAACGGCCGAGCAGACCGACACAAGAGGACAGAGCGCTGTTTCTTCTTCCCCGTAATGCGCTATACAAGTTCAAGTACGACGAACCAACTCGCCCAATCTTCAACACTCGTGGCCAATATACTCCACTGTAGCGTTGACGCGCGCGCACGCTGAGCACAGCGACGCTACGTTAGCAAAACGCGAGCACTCTATAATCTAAAGCCAGGCGCGACCAGCGTCCGTCGGCGCAGCCCGACGGCAACTGGCGCGAAATGCGACATGCTGCATTTCGCGCCAATGCGTTACCCAGACAACACTGTGCCTCCCTCTTCTCGTGACGGAGGGATGCCAGACGTGCTGAAACGCGCATGCGTTAAAGTAACGCAGGGCGGCGCGCCACTACGAGTATATATATGGCAGGACCGGCGCCTGGCGTGCAACACCGGCGTGACGCGACGACATGAACGCCAGCGAGCACGCGCACCGCGTCACGTCGAAATGTATTGGTGCCTTGAGTGTGGCATGTAGCCATGTTGTTACATGACACGCATTTCATATTTATCATGTTTGCACCCGTATCATAATTTCGTCATCCAGTCACGTACCGTATTACCAAATTTGGTACAGGTGAAGCTAGCGAAACGGCCACCAGCGGATCATGAGCGTGGCATGTAGTCATGTTGTTACATGACACGTATCCCATAATAATCATGCTTGCACCAGTCACACACCTTCGTCATCCATTCACGTACTGTAATACCCAATTTGGTATATGCGACGCTAGCGAAAGGGACGTGAGCGCATCATGAGCGTGGCTTGTAGTCATGTTGTTACATCACACGCATGTCATGATTTTCATATTAGGGTCTCTCGCTTGTGTTCACCATGCAATCATGCCATACCATACCAGTTTTGTAACATGCCATGTGAACGAAACCACCGCAAGAGCTGCAGGATTATGAAGTGTAAATCAACACATTCATGACATTTATGTCACAATTTTCATGTTATGACTAGTGAAATATCTTCTTCCTTCAGTCATTTTATGCCATACCTCGTTTGGTAGTTTGGTATCGGTAACATTACCAAAACGGCCAGGAGAGCTAAATGTCGTAGGCGGCTAGATAGATAGATAGATAGATAGATAGATAGATAGATAGATAGATAGATAGATAGATAGATAGATAGATAGATAGATAGATAGATAGATAGATAGATAGATAGATAGATAGATAGATAGATAGATAGATAGATAGATAGATAGATAGATAGATAGATAGATAGATAGATAGATAGATAGATAGATAGATAGATAGATAGATAGATAGATAGATAGATAGATAGATAGATAGATAGATAGATAGATAGATAGATAGATAGATAGATAGATAGATAGATACGCTCAAAGTCGCCAAAGTTCGCTAAGAAATACTTCGCATTTAATACCTAGAGAGGAATCTTGCGCTGCGATCGTGTACCCTCGTGGGAATAATGGGAAGTACAGGTTTCGGATTAGATCTCGTTAGCCAGCGAGCTGTCTACGGATCTTTTTCTACAGTTTCAGTTTCGTTCTTCGCGTAGAGTGGCTAGTGGGGTGGGTGCAAAGAACTGAAGCTGCGTCTTTGTTGTTCACAGCAGCCAAAAACTGCTAGGCCTCCTAATTTACTGCAACGCTTGAGCTGTATAAGTCGTGTTTGACAATTTTAGCGAAGCGTCGTCCACTCACCGCGGCGCATCGATGTAGCGTACCGTATCAGTGCAGGATATTTCAACGAGTTCACATTTGTTATTCGTGCGTCTTGCTGAAACTCGTTGAAATAAACTGCAGAACGACGGCGACGCGAAGTAGACGCAACGCCACGCTCTTTTGACTCGACTTCACAATAAAACGAGAGGTGCGTTGGGGACAGATCACTTGAACAGACGCACCTGTCATCGCAGCAGACGGAACGTTAAGTCTTTCTCAGTAAATACTGTGCTACTAATTGCATAAATATATATTGCGTACTTTCGAGGGCAGAACAAGAATAGTTTGAAACGTCATAAAGAATAAGTGATTACATCTTGAGGCCAAATCTGGAACGCAGTGGCAGAGCAATGCATACCCTGGTGGTTAAATTTTTTCTAAGGTTTCACTTCTACTGTCTAGTCACAAAAATCTTTTGCAGCAAAGTTTGCGTACAATAAATGAAGCAAGTTTCAATTAGACATAACTTCATATCAATTTATTTTACACTCAGCAAACAAGCGTCGCGAATCTCAAGAACGTGATCCATCCGAAGCAGGTCCGAAAACTACTTCCCATATTTCCCATGGGGGTAAAGCGCCACTGAAGGAGCCCATGTAGACACAAGCGCCAGATCCTCCTCTAGGTATTATTGTATAAAACTCTCTGTCTATAGCTCTCATGAAGTAGTAAAGATAATCACTCGGAGATTCCTCGTTTTCCGATGGTTCCAACGTAGCATGGTTCAAGACTGAATAAATATACAAAGTTACTGATGGCGCTCAGAACGTTGAAGCTTTAGTTTTTCAGGTGTAAAAACAGGCGCGATAAGCCGCCTTTTGAAAACAGGCATATTGACAGTTGCGCAGTATCGTTTGCGTGGGGGGGGGGGGGGGCAGGATTTTTTTAGAGAAAATCAGTTGATGGGAAGTGCATGGTGAGCAATGGGAGGTCCTAGCAGGCCCTTTTAAATGCGAAGCATTTCTTAGTGAACTTCGGCGGCTTTGAGCGTATCTATCTATCTATATATCTATCTAGCCACTTATGTTTGGGTGCTTTCGTGATCACCCCCCTTAACATGGCGTGAACCAAAATTAGCATGGAAGGGCAGGATGGTTTGACGAATATGACGCGCTGGCGAAGACATGAATAATGGCAAAATACCTTCACGTACGTCGTCAAACACTTCCCACGAGACAGTGGCACATAACCACGGGCGGGTATGTGCTGCTGGAATGCGGGTGTGTGCCACAGGCGATTGACACTTAGTAGCTACCCAGAAACAAGGAGAACACACATGGGCAATTTTAACGCGCGAGTATTAATAAATACCCGACATCAGTAGCGTCTACCCGACGAACCCAAGCATTCTGCGTGGCGATGAAGCATTTTACCACAGAGCTACGCCAGGTCTGGGAAATACTTGTCAAATAGACGCTAATCTTCGTGAAACGTCAATAGGTGTTGCAGTGCTGCCTATCCAATTTTACAAACATCATGTACTCCTTTGATACAGCCGTCAAGTCGGGTTAACGTCAATTGTAGTTAGTTATCATGCGCTGATGTTGATTTATGTAGCAGTGTCCCGAGCCAGCATCCTCGCGAGCGTCGGTGCTTCATATGAGCTTCTGGTGTTGCTATACGCATGTTCCAGTTGGCATCGATGCACAAGTGCAAAGAATGGCTTATATAAACATGTGCAGCTCTTCAGCGTATGTCTGTGCTTGTAACATTTGTGCATATATTCAGCGTCATTTAATGACGTGTCACACAAAAAAAATTACAACGCGCCCATCTTCCCTCCGCATGCTTCGCATAACGTCGAGTCTCAGATAAGTGAGATCTGCCGATTTTTTTTAAAAGAGTATTTTGAGAATACACAATAAAAATTAAGCGGAGATTAGGTGGTTCGGCATATTGTCACGGGGTCGTGACGTGGCCGAAGACAGGAGACTTCGTGTCGGGATTTAACTGTTTATTTGGGCGAACCTGTGCCCCGTAAACGGAAAGTCCAATTACAGCAGCAGTCTTGCACAGATAGCAGTCTCGGACTGATAGCGGCGAACGGAGCGTCGGCCTTCGATCAACAACAACTGGCAAGCGGCGAAGCGCGTCAGCATTTATACTCTTGCCATCGAATGTTCTAGCGTTATCGCTGGCGGTGGCGTAGGTTCCAGAACAATCTGTACCGTTCGCACAGTGGGCGTGATCTTATCGAAATGATCTACTACAGTCCGGAACCTTCTGGAAAACTGCAGGCGCGGTTTGCG